TTGACATTGCGCGGCTTCTGTTTGAGTACATCGTGATCAACGGGTTCAACGCCAAGCGATTGTGCGGGTGGTCCATCCATAATTATGTTGATCCAGAGTATTTGCATAGCATTCAAGGGATTTGCGATGCCCATGAGAGTAGCGAGCGCGATCAATGAGAGAGCGGCAATCGAGGTACTCAGCTGGAAACGTACGAAGTTGCGAATGTTGTAGAAGATCGCTTTGCCCTCCTCGATGGCAGCGCTGAGTTGGGAAAAGATAAAGGGAAAGAATTAATTACAAGTCGGAGATGTGGGGTCTCATAGTGTAATGAGAAGAGTAGGTAAAAAAGTATGGGGCCGATCATGCAATGGAAAACTAGGAAAGGAAGTAAAAAATTAAAATTACAGGTAAATAGTTAAAATAATGACTAATTTTTTCAGATATGATGCATAAATAAATCCCGGGATCTCCCTCTCTCTCTCTCTACAAGTTTCTTACGAGTACATCATACAACTCATAAAAGTCTACTCACATGATGGTGTGAAAATCATCGTTGACTAGTATCATATCAGCAGCCTCCTTGCAAACATCCGTGCCATTTTTACCCATAGCAATGCCGATATCAGCCTTCTTCAATGCCACGCCATCGTTGACACCATCGCCCGTCATGCCGACAATATTTCCAGTGCGTTGTAGTGATTTGACGATCGCAAGCTTATGACGCGGTGTGACACGGTAGAAAACACTCACATTATTGGCGACCTTATCCAGTTGGTGTTCATTTAGTTGGTCCATTTCTTGACCGGAGAGCGTTTGCTGATGAATTGTGTCGATTCCAATGAGATTCGCTGAAAAGAAAAGAAATATTGATCAGTTAAACATGGTGAAAAATTACTTTTGAGTTTTTTCGTGCAAGTGAAGGAATTAAAAGAGGCTATAACGCTATAACTTTCCAACAACTCTAGGGTCCATTAGTTAGAATTGACTGGAATGACAATTTTTCTACAATTTTTTCAAATTAAACATCGTCACTAGACATGAATAAAGGCGCACTAGTACTTTGACGGCGAACAAAGACGCGTAAAAAAATTTTTACGAAAAAAGGCGCTTAATAAATAGTTCGGCGAAGAAAGACCCGTAAACATAGATGTATACCTGGCCAACGACTGTGACTTCAGCATCATTTCTCAAAAACTCTTTGGAGAATTTACATACTGTTACAACCGCACACATAGTTGACAGCGAAAATAAGTTTACGCGTCTTTCTTCGCCGTCAAATATTTTAACGCGTCTTTCTACGCCGTGAACTATGTTAAGAGTCTTTCTTCGCTGAAGTTTTTATGCGTCTTTTTTCGCGGTCAACATTTTAGCTCGGGCTTTTAGTCGTGTCTAGTGACGATATGCTTTAGATTGTTCTCCAGGAGGGCTCAAAAGCTGTAGTTTGTCTCTCAAAGAGTCCATTCTACCTATACTTGCAGTGTCCTGTCAGATAAACAGAACCTTCGCAACCCATCCAGCACAGAATAAGAACACACTTGGCCACTGTGGCCCCATTGTGATGCCATACCGTAGATACTACCTGAATCCAGTTCAGCCAAACATTCAAAGGAATAGTGGAGAAACGGGCGCCGACGACCTCTCGCTAATGCAGGACAATGGCACAGGTCTATGGTTTCGATTACCTACACATCGAGGTAGCTACGACAGTAGTCGTTTGACTGCATACGCATCCTACTAGCGTGGGTTCCCATCAGGCAATGGCCGGTGAGAACTCCAGTTACATGCCGGAGCAGTGGTCGCTCCAAGCGGAGTAGATGGCTGGATCTACGCTTATTCAACCTAGGCCAAAAATTCCTTGCCGTCCTGCACATTCGTTGCGCAGACCATCCGTTAAAATTATTCTCCAGCCAGAGTTCGAATGAAAATAGCGGAATGCCCGAAACTCGAGCATTACTGATTTCTGACAGTAAGGTGTCTTTCCTACCCAGTACATCCGTAATACAGTTCCGGTACATACATATCTATGGCCGGGCACCTATACGACAAGACTGACGTATCTCCTTGCCAGCTCATTTAGGGTACGTCTACATACCATGACAATCCCCGACGACGATTTGTCACAATTAAGTACTTTAATAGCTCTCTGGCTATCAAAAAAGACCGCTCCTGCATTCGAATTTATATAAAAATCGATCAGCAGCTTCGTTCATTACTTTAAGTTCAGCATGCGAGTATACTCCACTTCTTACTTTCAGATCCAACTAGGAACCATCAGTGTAGATGGATGATGAGTCAGAGTAAGAGATCAGGACAGAATCCTCCTCCCAGTCACCACTTGAGGGGATTCTTGTTTGGAAACGCTCCATCGGTCCAGTGGGCGGGATTGTGTAGTAGTCCATACGCCTGAAGAAAGCTGGAAGTTCTTCCTAAATTCTAGAGTGTCCGAATCTCATATCACTCCACCTGATCAGCGCGTTTAGTCGAATAGCGTCACAGCTTGCCTGTAGTTTACCCTATAGGTCCACATATAGAAGGTGAATCAAGGTCTTTAGGGCTTTGGCGTTGGGGGTAACGCCCCCGTCATCCACACCACCCTTTTAACCTTTATTAGTTTGTCATTTACTGAAGATTTATCCACGGACGGCCACCAGACCGTGATGCCGTAAAATAGAATGGGACGTACCACCGCTGTGTACATACAGTTCACATAACGAAGCTGTAAGCCCCATTTTTCCCCTATTGCTGATTTATAGGCGTACAGGGAAGTTATCGTTATCTTTTTACGATCTTCCACATTGCGTCGCCAAGTTAGCGAAAAAGTCAGCGTGGAACCATTCAAGGAAGTAAGTTGTAGCCAAGCAGTCTAAATTTTCGATGGAGAAAGAACCATGACCGTTTTTGCAGGATTGACACTAAGGCCTGCTTCTTCGGACCAGGTTTCTAAAATGCGTAAGGCACCTTGAACCAGGTCGCATAGAATTTGGGGGTGATTACCAAGTGCCATCATGGCAAGACTAAAGATACCAAATTTGGCATCCTTCGTTGATCGTTTTGTTTACACTTTACAACATTTTTATTATTAAAAATGAATTGTAGGTTCAGATTCCACGTACCAAGAACCCTCACAAAGGCCTTTTGATGGTACATATGAGTATTTGCGACCACCAACTTCAATTAAAAAATGCTCAAAACTGCCAACTTCAGAAAACTGAGCATATGAGTTTTCAATATACAACCGAGTTATTCAGAAAAACTTGGTGAAAGGACGATTTCGTCTGAAAATTTGACAACGAAATTATAGTAAAATATTGTAAAACTCAAAAATTTATCTGTGGGAATTCCTAGCGCCTCTTTTGGACGGGTGCGCACGACTTCTGCGATGGCTTTACAAACGTAGTGGTTGAGCTTACTCGAAGTGACGCCGTAACCTGTGCCGTACAGTGTACGACTTGGGTGTGTCGATGGACAAAATCGTAAGTCTCTCGATAGGAATAACACAAAAATATGGAAAAATATAGTTTCAAAAGCTCACATAATGGCCTACAAGGAAAAAATAATGCCATTATATAATCATTATATAAAACCCCAAAAAAATTTGGTTGAAATTTAACCTAAAAAAAATGAATACTTTGCTAAATCCATCAAACCAATAAACAAATTTTGATTTTGGATTTTATGGACTTTTCTTGTAGATTTTCGATCGAGGTATTCAAACGCATTGTCAAACGTTAACTAAGAAATCTTTTAGGTGCTAATTTTTTAAATTGCAAAGTTGCAAATAAATTTTAAATTTTTAATCAGACTTTCTAGAATTTTGTATGCAGTTTTGTAGCCCATGTAATTCTTGTATAATAAATTGCAAGTTTTAAGTTGTTAAAATATTGCGTTGATTTTTGGATTTTTTTTTAACGCATTTCTTTTGTATGGAAAAAATGCAGCCAGAAAAAAATTATCAAAAACAAACGCGATTTTTTAGCAACTTAAAACTTGCACTTAGAATTTCTTGGGCAATAAAACTGCATACTCAAAAAAAATCTGGAAAATCTGATTAAAAAGATGAAAATTTAGATGCTCTTTAAAAAAATAATACATTTAAAAAATCAAATTATTTTAATTAATTAAATTTAAAAAATTAGCATCTATAAGATTTTTTAGTGAACTTTTGGCAACAAATTTGGATTCCTCGGTCTACAACAAAAGTCCATAAAACCAAAAAACTAAATTTTTTGTTGGAGCTAGCCAGCAAAGTATTAATTTTTTTTTTCGAAAGTAAATTCTTCAACGATATTTTTTGGCGGTTGAATATAATGATTATATAATGGCACTATTTTTCTCTTATCAGCCATTATGTTAGCTTTCGAACCGATATTTTCCATATTTTTATCTTACTCCTATTAAGAGATTTACGATTTTGTCCATCGGCACTCTAAAATCGTACACTCTGTGGCGTGTACGTGATTATTGGTGCATTCCATATTGCCTATTATCAGTATTCAATATCTATAAGTCTAATTGTGGATTGAGTTAGGTTGGCCTTGTTTACTTCCTGAACGGGACGGGTCAAACAGTAAAATTTTTAGCTGCCGCAGTCGGGTGCCCTGCTTCGCTTTCTGAAGCTCACGCTCACACAGCAACAGTCATTTCTCTTCTCTTTACCCTCTTACTTCCCTTCGCCATCATTTAATCATTTTCCATTTATAAATATTTCACAAGTTTTCTTTCTCTGCATTCGTTTACTCATTAGCACCTACATGCAAGAGCATTAACATTTGCCACTTTTGCATTAGCAAGTTTCTTTGAAAAGCGCCGCTCCATCTAAAACTATTTCATTGAGACATTAAAGGCGGCGGACTGCTTATTCTTCTTCTTCTTTACATTATACTCCTACTACGCTTCATGTTTTTAATTTCTGTTTGATTTCTTTTTGTTCACGCTTGAGAAATTTACTCCGACAACTGCATACCTTATCAGTTAATGTTGCTCGTTTCGTTTTTGCTGCAGCGCTTTTGTATTATCGCCCGCAGCCAAAACGGGAGTGCAGTGCGTTTATTGTGGGCTTGATTTGCCCGCTCTTGAGCTTGCCACACCGCAAGGAATGTACAAATGCGCCACATAGAGTTGTCTGCATTTGTGTGACTGCCTGCGGGTGGTTTGCCACTTGATTACTGCCACACACCATTGCTTTGCAGCTCATTTTGTAGAAAGGGCGTTGTTTTCCATTTGGAGTTTACAGTTGCCATTTTTGTGCGTTTTTCCTGCTTTCTATGCTTTCTCTGCTTGCTTTGTGCACTTCCATTGCCATTTCCGGCGTTTTTCAATATTATCGACAACGTGTCCGAGCACTTTTCACTGTCTGCCGTGAAATCAAAGTCACTCTAATGGTGGCTATTGGAATTTTAATTTTTACGTGTTGCAACGTTACAACGGTAGTGGTAGAAGACGATGAGCAGCAAGTATGACGAGTGCTGTTTTCAACTACTTACAACGACTTTTCTCGCACTTTAAGTGAAGTGAAATAATTCAGGCTTTTGTTAAATCCTGCACGTACAAAATAGAGTATATTTCCTAAATAGTATTTTTGCAAAATGCATTTCGAGTGCAACGTGAACTTTCGTACTCAGCTCTGCTTGCGATTTTTCTCTTCTTCTTTTAGTACCAGCACGCTGGCTTAAATTCCTATGCTTGTCAAGTATGATTTAAGCTTCTAGCTCACTAGAAGCGGTTGTCCGACCCAATACCTTGCCCTTCCTTGCTGCAACTTTCATACTTACACTCGTAGTGTGCAGTTCATATTGCTCGTGCACTTCTTGATCTCAGTGTTGTGTTATGCTTTTTTATTGCCCTACTT